CGGCTCAGGAGATGCGCATCATCTGGTCCTGGATCCCTGAGCGCTTCTCCCTCTTCCCCCCACTGCTGCTCTTCTCCACATCAGAAGATGGGTGCAGCCTGCAGAGGTAAAGCGTCATCTGCCGGTCGGGTTGGGTCAGGTCGGGTGGGCCAGGCATAAAACTGGATAGAGGTTGGTGGTGTAGAAAGGAACAAGATGTGGTGTTCATGGGGTACATCTAAGGTCTCCAGGGGACTCTCTTGGGCTCGGTTCAAGATCCTGAGTGTGGTCTGGGCCAGTGCTGGCTGTAGGGGAGAGGGCCAATGCTCAGTCAGATGGCAATCAGCAACTTGGCACTGCATAGGGAATGTTGTGCCCTGAGGATGTGCTGTGCAAGGGGATGTCCCCATATGCCACGCCATGCCGGGCAGGCTACGATCATCCCAGTCCAGCCAGCACACCATGCCCAGGGCTCCAGCTTCCTCCCAGTGGCACAGAGCACAGGGCAGCTGCTGAACACTGTAGTCAGTGCTGCGGCTCAAAACTGAGCTGGAAAACAAGTTTGCCATTGACTTCCCAAGCCATGAAGTGGCAAAAACCTTCCAGAAGGTGAGTGAATGTTTTCGGGCAGGAAACCCAAACCTGCTCCACTGTAGGCGCACATTAATCTGAGAGGTTGCACTTGCAGAGCGGGCAGAGCTCAGGGCAGGGGCAGACAGCGTGTGGGTACATCCTGGAGGGGAAGACATCAAACACTCTAAACACAAGTTAAGAGAGCCCAAGTGCCATGGCCAATGCCCAAAATTCCAATAAAAAGACCACTGTCAGTGCTGGAGACAACCTGGGGCCCAGTGACACCCACGCGATGGCCACGGAGCGAAGGGTGCAGTGGGAAGCAGGGACAACCCTGCAACGCTCAGTGCCGCAGTGTTCCTCCACTGAGATGCAGCTCACTGCTGACCGGGAAGGGACACCGGGCTGTCCCGCGGCTGGATGCCACCCATGCCGGTGGGGCTGCGGTGGTAGTGCCCCTGTTAACACCACGAGCATGTCCACCCCCTGCCCCATGAGAGGCGAGCAGGCGCCCCGCAGCACAGTGGTACAGCCCCATCCTTGGAAGCGCAGCCCCGCACCTTCCCAAGGCAGCAAAGGGGCGCAGAGCCCAGATGATGAAACACAGCCCGATTAAAAAACAAGCCAGTTCGGTAAACTCCCCCCATGTAAACTCCCCCCACCAGCACGGTGCCTGAGAATAGGGTGGGAGGATTTAGTGTTTGGATTTCTCTGAGCTATTACCTGCTTCACCAAGCAAAAATGATGACTTGAGAAGTCCCATAAGCCAACTCCCCCTGTCCTCGCGCAAACACTGAAGCTGCTCGAGCTACAGGATTAGGAGTTTCTTCTGCTGTCCTTCCACAAGCTCCCTCGGGTCAGCTCAGCAACGGGCTGCGAAAAGTCGCCACTGCTCTCCACTGTCCTTTACTGCCTCGTGCTCGCTGCATGCCCGGGCTCGCCACATGGCACGCTGCTCCCGCGTCTCAGACCCCCACCAACCCAACCCCCTTGTTCACCTCTGCAGGTTTTACACGTGCTGTGAAGGCTATGAACCCACGGTGCTGCTCATAAAAACAACAGAGGGGGAGGTAAGTGTTGCCCAAGCAGAGCGGTGGGCTGTGCTGGTGGAGATGTGGAGAAGGGGACTGGGTGGTTGACCCCACCAGCACTTCTTGGAGGAGCTGTGGGGCTGCGTGGTCCCTCTCCTGTCCTGCCCCGGGGTCTGTCCCAGCTCCCAGGAAAGAATAAACTCCACCAAGAGTGACCTTAAACACATGCTGGTCTAAAGGGTGCTGCTGGGGGGAAACGGAGGAGGAGTCAGTGAGATGGAGAGAAGCCATGGGTGACACTCTTCTGTTGCAGACTAAACCATGAAGTCACAGAATCATAGAATTGCTGAGGTTGGAAGGGACCTTTACGATCATCAAATCCAACCATTAACCTATCCTGACAAAACCACTCCTAAACCACATCCTTAAGCACCACATCTACCCCCCACAAGGGAAATGGAGGAGAAATAAGGACAGCTTCTACAATGTTTGAAAGTTGTGAAATAACTGCAAAAAAACCCTTCTTCCTGGGGATTCTGAGAGTGGCTCTTAAACCCATATTTTATCTCTCTACTCTCCATCAAACAGCGGAGGCAAGCTCTGTAAATTGTTCAGGCATCCCAAAGATTTATTGACCTACCAGTCCTGATTTCCCAAGCCTGACACTTCAGCGTGGCGTGGAGTTAAACACTCTGCCACCCCCCAGGGCCTTGTGCAGACAAGGGGAGGTGACTTACAAAACATGTTTTAGCTCATTTTATTCCTTAGCGAGTACCAAGGATGGGCACAATTTCCTACCTCTCGGTTGGTCCCTTCCAGCCATGGTCAAGTCAAGCACATCCACAGCAGAGTCAGCCCGTCTACGGGTGGGAGAACCCCTGGGACTGGTTAAAAGCCTTGTAGGTAACACCAAACGTGTTACGTGAGTCTTTGCCATTTTAAAACACATTTTCCCTAATGACTCATAAAACAGGCGACCATCTCACTGCTGGCCAGGGACAAGGGACTCCCAGACCTCCATCCACAGCATGTTCATACAACCTTTTGACCCACACAGTTACTCCTCTCCATTGCTGGATTGGGCTCAGGGGTGGGAGACGCAGCTCCTACTCCCAAGCCCAGACCAGGGAACACACCAGCACGGCCGAACCGTCCCTGCTCAATCAACCAGCACGCAGCTCACTGCAATGGCCTCTGCCGCAAAAGAGCCACCTCCCAAATCTCCCAGAGCTCCCCCTTTAGGCACTGAAGCGGAGTGGACTCACATCCAGAGCACCAGTGACTCGTCAGCGCAGGATTTACCTGGCAAGGAACAATTTAGGTCTCAGATTTCCCCAGGGGACCTCGCAGAGCCCTTGTCTACCAGAAGGCAGGTGTGATGGCACGTTCTGGGGCTTGCTCTGGTCCCGGCCATCTCCCCCGCTAACGGCTCCCTCTGCTCTCTCCCGAAGGTGTGTGGGGCGTTTCTCTCCTCTGACTGGAGCGAAAGGAAAAAGAGCGGGGCAACATCAGGCTTTTTTGGGACAGGGGAGTGCTTTGTGTTCACTGTAAGTCACATTTTATTTCTGGGTTTACACTTACGCATTTGTCTGTTAATTACTTTGTCCTTTACCCCTGGGGGGTCTTGGAGCATCCTCCTGGGATGACGGCAGGGCAGCACGCGTGGCAGGGCGGGTTTCTGCCCTGTTTGCTCGGGGCAGCTCCTGGATGGAGCATTCCCAAATCAGCCCCGGGGTCCCTGCAGAGGGAGCAGGCTAAGCTGGTTCAAGAGATCCTGGGGGCAAAGTCCGACATCCATCCAGTATCCCACCAGTGTCCACCCAGCAATGTGGGCGCTGCAGGTTTGCCCATCTCGGGCACCACCTGGTGAAGACAAAACCACTCAGTCACAGCCACATCCAGAGCAGCCCTGGCACCGCCAGGACACTGTGTCCCTTCCCTGCCCCGGGTCTGGACCTGGCACGCAGCATTTGGCCCCCAGCCCGCCTGGCCAGGCAGCACCATCCTCCCCCAGCAATGGCGAGAAGCCCCAAAGGACAGTGCTCACCACGTTTCTTCCGCTTTCCAGGTGCGCCCCGAGACGGAGAGGTATGAGTGGGTGTTCATCAAGAAGCCGGAGCTGGCCAAAGCTGTGCCGCGCTCACGCCAGCGGTCGCCTTCCCCCTCTCCCGCGTCCCTCCTCAGCTCCTCCCCGGACGGCCGCGGCACCAGCTCGAACCGTCTCGCCGTGCCCGCGCCGCAGAGGAAAGGCCGTCTCTCCCCATTTCTGGCCATCAGGCATTTCCTTCTGCCTTCCAAAACAGCCTCCATGTTCATGTCCGGGTCACGGGAAGGGATCATTATCGGTAATTACCGAATACTGAGTGGCACCCACCCACTGACACACCGCTGCTTTGGCTGAAAAGGGCTCTACTCCACAGTAAAATCTGAGCTGCCTGTAGAGGCAAACACCTCCTGGTTTAGGTTATGAACTTAAAGTCAGGGGAGATTAAGTCATCCCCCTCTTCCTCAAATCAGCAGGAGAGTGCAAAGCTGCACAAGGGCAAAGATGCTCCTTCTGAGAGCCCCAGAGGGGCTCTGCCAGCTGAGGGGGAGCTCCAGAGCCCAAACCTCCTGGTGAGGTTTGCCCCCACGGGGCTGCTGTGTCCTTTCCTGGCCCTTCCCTCCGCTTTGTGCGGGATGGAGAGGAGATGCAGGAGGGGATCAGCCCAAGGAAGGGCCGGGCACGGTCCCCCAGAGCAGACACACCAGCTGCCTGCCCGTGCTGCCGTCTGCCGGCTCGGGCTTGGGCACGGGGCTTCAATCTTTGTGCCCCACCACTGCCAGGGGGGGTTTGACAGAGGAGCGCAGCGAGTCAGGATCACCCGCAGCACAGCCTCTGCCTCCCCTCCAGCCCTCGGGAGCGGGATCAGGGCAAACCTGGCTGCGGGGACGCAGCAGCTTTCCTTGTTCTCCAGCTGTCCAAGCAGTTTAATAATTCAGACGGTGCTGCCAGGGCAACCTTTTGCAGCGTCCGCCCTGCAGACAGCTCTCCAGGAGCTCTGCCTCCACGCTGACATCCTGATCGGCCGAGAAGGCAGCTCAGGGCAGCCCCAGCCCAGCTCTGCGCTGTGGCCAAAGGACAGAGAGCTGCGAGATGGGCGCAGTCCTGGGAGATCTCGTTGGCTGGGCCGGTGTCCCTGCCTGGGCAGCGATGGGGGGAGAGCAGATCCCGATCGCCTTGCTTTGTTTTTGCAGGTGGAGGTGGAGGCCAAGCTCTGTCCCTCGATGCCAACCTGCTCTGGGGGCGCACGGAGCACTGCGAGACCTTCGACAACCCTCCGCTCTGCCAGGAGAACTTCAAGGTGCAGTTCTTGGAAGTATGGGGCTTTCAGAACGCCTAGGTCCCGCGGGGGACAGCCCCTCACCACACCGCCCATGGAGACAGGGACGCCTCGCCGTGCTGGCCGCCACCACGGCTGGCCTGCTGCGGTCTCCACCGACGGCGCCGCGCACACCTCCGCTCGCCATCCTCCTCTCCACGGTCAGCCGTCGCGGTGGTGCGGAGAGAGGGCAGTGCGCTGCCGGGAACGGGACTGTGGCCGCTGTCTTTGGGGACATTTGAGGTCCTCTCCCATGGTTTAGACCCAGCCCGCTCCACCCAGTCTGTCCCAGTTTAGGATGCCAGAGGGGAGGTGAGGCAGTCCGGTGTTTCTCACACCTCCCTGGCCTGTTTGTGATTTGGGGGTCAACAGCAAACCAGTGGTACCGCAGCACAGGCAGATTTTATAGGAATTTGGAGCCTAGGTAAAACCCAACACCGAGCTACAAAACTCACCAGCAACACTCTCAGACCCCGCTTCCCCGCGGTCCCAAGCCCAGCGCCACCCCTTCAAGCCATACTCTGAATTTTGTAGCTTCTGTGGGTCACCAGAACTCCTCCAGGATCGCGCACTGGTCACCATCCAACACAGTGCCAGAGACTCTTTTAGTCCGCGGTTGAAACTGCTGATGGATGACTCGCAAAGTCCTACAGCAGCAGCCAACGGGAACCCCCAGCTGCGTACCTGCCTTGTCATTTCTGTATTAAACCGAAGATCGATAACTCACTGCAAAGGGCTGATGTAAGACTGTGAGCAGTGAATACATATGAGCCTTAACCAACGTGCCCCGGCCACCGGGAGACGTGCCCTTTTACAACATGGAACGCGACCGTGTACGTGTAGCGCAGTCAGATGCGGCAACCCTCACGAGAGGGTTGTAGGCTGTGGAGGTATCATTCTGGCTGCGGGATGAGAACCTCTCCCACGTCCAAATATATTTTCCACTTGTGGTTTTCTCTTTCATCTATTCCACTTCTCGAGCTATCGCTGCCTCGGTGCCTGCTTCCAGCTGCGGCAGGAGGACACGGGCAGGAGCAGGCGATGGCAGCAAGCTCACACAGTACCAGCCCCGCGACAGACCTAGGAATTGCTTGTAGCCTTCAGGGGGTATCCAGGTAAGATGAGGAGGTGCAGCGCAGCCCTCTGTGTCCTCAAGCCTGGACTTCGCCAACAGAGCTCAAATGAAAGAACACCGCAGAATTACTCTTCCCCTGCAATTAAAAAGCTCTCCTGGGGTGTCCTCAGTGTTTCTGTCTTTCCATGGTCATGTACTGGACTCTGTCCGGCTGGAATTTTCCCAGGGGAGTCCCTCTCCCTTCCCAAGAGGCTGTTTCTCTCTATCCAGTGATGCACGGGGTGCACAAGATGCCTGGAAATGCAAAGCCCTTCATGAGCAACCCAGCCCGACCTCCACTCAGCAGCGGTCGGCGTATTTCTTTGTAAAGGGCAAGCAGGCCCCGTCTCATGCGTGGAAATACCAGATGCTGGGGCTGTATCATGGAGGCCGTCGATGTCCCCGATGCGCTGGCCATGCGCTGGACCCCGTGCGTCCCTTGGAGGTGGTGTGTGCCGTGTACCTCCGCCACTCGCCAATTAGAGCCGTAAATCACAACGGATGTCAGTGCGCTCTTTGCATTCACTGCCCGTAATCTGATGAGCGCCTTTGCCGTTTCTGAAAGGGACGCTACAGTCCTTTCTTCTTGTGCTTTATTCCATTACTGAATAAAGTTCAAAACTCCTGGAGAATGAAAAGAAACCCGAAATCACGCAGGGGAAGCCGAGGGGCCAGGAGGCCGAAGGGACACGTAATGGGATATAAAGATCTTTCATCCGTGTGTGTCATGGTTTTGGCTGGGATGGGGTTGACTTTCTTCTTAGGGGCTGGTGCAGTGCTATGGTTTGGATTTGGGATGAGAATGGTGTTGGCAGCACGCTGGTGGTTTCGGTTGTTGCTGAGCTCTCCGGGCATTTTCTGCTCCTCGCACTGCCCCGCCAGCGATGCGCTGGGAGGGCTGTTATGCTTGGAGAGACCTATAACAATTTGTTGTCATTTAGACAATCATTCTATCACCCAATGATTCCTCCCCACCTGGGAAAGGGGGAAAAAGGAAACCCAGGAGTTGAAGTATAAACAGATTTAAGAGCGTAAGATTAGATGATTAACGTTAATAGCACTAAAGAACCAATATTGATCCCGATACCAACATAAAATACCCAAGGATTATCCTCAGCCCATTCCATCCGTAGAAGCTGTGCGCTCCCCGCAGTGACAGCCAATGTGGGACACTGTGAGCGCTGCGGCTTCGGGAGGAAGGGACGGGCTCAGGGCTGCGGCACCGGGGCGAGGAGTGCTCAGGATGGCAGCCGTCACGGGAGACAGAGAACTCCCCAGCAAACTTCCTAATTTATAGTGAATGTCCCGTTCATGGTATGAACTAACCCTGTTGGCAGCTTGGGTGCAGTGCCCGGGTCTCGCTCCTCCTCATCCCCACACCTCCATGAGCTCGGAAACACTGAGACCTTGAAACCCACACACGACAGCTGGCTAGAAAGCAAGTATTTACACAAATTCAGACACCAGAGTCTTCTAAAAGTGCATTTTCCCCAAGTATTAGAAGAGAAATTAGTCCTGTGTCGCTCAAACCAGGACAGGGGCATGAGAGGTTTGGAGGGGACACAGCGGGGACAGCTGACCCCACTGACCACAGGGATATCCCACACCATTCGGCGTCGTGCTCTGTGTATAAAGCTGTTGTGAGAAACAGTCGCTCATGGATAAAAATGTAGAGAGGACAAAGTCTTTGAAGCAAACATAAAAGTTTATTCAGGATCAAAATAAACGAGTCTGCTCAGTCGGTCGCATCTCAAAAAGAGCACAACTGGTTACAAAACTTCAGGTATTTATGTCCCGTCCCCTTTTCCCATTGCTTTGGTACTTCAGGGCGCACAGTCTTTCACAGCCAGTTAGCCTATCACAAACTCGATTCCCATTTTTGTCCTTTAAAGTTGTTTGTCTAAGTCACATAGCCCTGCTCATGTCCTCGACAGACAAAATGGCTGAAGCAGAACAATCCCCGAGTTCATCTCTCACAGTGGGGAAGACGAAGGAAGGGGGTGGACGTTGGGAGCGATGGCGTTTGCCTTCCCGAGTCACCCTTAGGTGTTCCCTGCTCTCCTGGGGGTGGCCCAACACCCGCCTGCCCACCGGAACGAACTCCCGGTTTGGTTTTCCGCGCACCAGGGAACGAACTCCCGGTTTGGTTTTCCTTGCGTGCGCGGCTTTTACTGCACCTCTGAACACCGTCTTTCCCTCAACCCACAGGTTTTCCCTCTCTCTTCTCACTCTCCCCTACCCGGCGGCGGGAAGCGAGAAG